TTCAGCTCAAGGCTAGTGCTCTACCACTTGAGACACAGCACCACTTATGGCTTTTTCTGCTTATGTGGTGCTGAAGAATCAAACCCAGGGCCTCATGCATGTGAGGTAAGCACTCTACCACTGAGCCACCTTCCCAGCCCCTAAAAAAAAAGCAAGTTTAAAATATACTTTGAAATGGGTGAAATGTTTGATTTGGGGGTTAGTTTACAGTGTCATTTGACTTGAACTCATAGCTTCTTATTCTCACTTGCTTTTCCACTCATGGTTGAGGCTCTACCAACTGAACAATGCTTCCAATTCCAACTTGTTTCATGTATGCAACATGAGGGATAGCAATGTACCTGGTTCATTTAAGATAATGAAAATTTGCCCTTTTGCATTGCATAATGGTGTTTCTGTTAAGTAGGTCACCGAATAGGGCCTACCATTAGTTTGTTGGTTTTTTTGTGATGTGCGTGTGTGTTTTGGTGGTTGTGGGGCTTGAACTCAGGGCCTGGCATTGTCCCTGAGCTCTTTTTAAAAGCCCAAGGCTAGCACTCTACCACTTGGAGCCCCAGTGCCACTTCTGGTTTTTAGTGGTTAACTGGAGATACCTCTTTGACTTTTCCTGCCCATAATGGCTTTGAACCTCCATCCTCAAATCTCAGCCTCCTGAGTAATTAGGATTACTGGCATGAGCCACTAGTGCCCAGCTTTTTTTTATTTTTAAATTTTATTGTTGAGGTGATGTACAGAGGGGTTAGTTACATAAGTTGGTGATTACATTTCTTGTCTAACTTGTTACCCCCTCCCTCATTTTTCTCCCTCTTTCCCTCACCCATCCCCTCAAATTGTACAGATCACTTCCAACATATTGTTTTGTATCACTGTTGTAGAAGTTCCCACTTTGTCCTTTGTCTCACCATTTTGTTGTTCCCCTTCCCTTCCCTAGTTCAGGTAAGTATAAACTTCCTTAGTTCTGCTTTAATTTCCTTTTTCAGGGTTTTTAAGTTTTCATGATAAAGGTCCTTCACTTCATTGGTCATTTCCTAGGTATTTTCTTTTTGGGGGGACAATTACAAAAAGAGTTGAATTCCTGATTTCAGCCTTGCTCTTTTCATTATTGGCATACAGAAAAGCCATTGATTTTTGAGGGTTAATTTTATACTTTGCCAAAATTTTAGAGTAATTTAGGAGTAGAGTCTATGGGATTTTTGTTGTTGTTGTTGTTAGTCGTGGGGCTTGATCTCTGGGCCTGGACACTGTCCTTGAGCTCTTCAGCTTAAGGCAAGCACTCATACCACTTGAGCCACAGCGCCACTTCTGGTTTTCTGGTGGTTAATTGGAGATGAGCTTCATGGACTTTTCTGCCCAGGCTGTCTTAAACTACAACCCTCAGATCTCAGCTTCCTGAATAGCTTAGAGGTGTGAGCCACCAGCACCTGGCAGGATTTTTTTTAAAAATTAAAACATGGTCTGTGTTGTTCAATCTGGCCTCTTGCCTGCTTCAGCCTTCTTAGTTTCTTAGTGCTGGAATTTGTTGTACCATGCCACACCTATCCTACCATTAGTTTTTATTTCTGGCATTTTTATAATTTCAATACTCAATGATTAGTTCTCATCCACTCCAGATTTTTGGCAGTAGTAGCAGGAACATAAGTTACTAAAACATAGAACCTGTTTGGTCAGTCTTCATCCTCATTACATTTTCTGGATACATTGCACAGATACAATATTGGGCATTCCTTTTTGCTTTTAGGTTGGTATCAGTGCATATGTCTGGAGTTCCTATTTTCTTCAAGGCAAATATCTAGGTCTGAGTGTCTTAAGGGCATACTTCTTGAAGCCTCTCTCTGGATGCACTTGTGAACACTGCTGTATTCTTGATTAACAGAATGGCTCTTCTGCTTGCCCCCCCATTTTTAGAAGCCATTCTTCTGGGCCCAAGTTGGAAGAAAAGAATTGCTAGAGATTAGGCTCGGCTAATGTCTATAATACTAGCATCATGAAGCTGAGATCTGAGGATTGCAATTTGAAGCCAGTCCAGACAGGAAAATGTGAGATTTTTAGGGAAAAAAAAAAAGCCAGGTGCTCACGGCTCACGCCTGTAATCCTAGCTACTCAGAGGGCTGAGATCTGAGAATCACGGTTCAAAGCCAGCAAGGGCAGGAAAAGTCCGAGACTCTTATCTCCAATAAACCACTCAGAAAACTGGAAGTGGCACTGTGGCTCAAGTGGTAGGGCGCTAGCTAGCCTTGAGCTGAAGAGTTGAGGGACAGCACCCAGGCCTAGAGTTCAAGCCCCACAACCGGCCCAGAAAAAAAAAAAAAGCTGTGGCTGAAGTGGTAGAATGCTAGCCTGGAGCACAAAAGCACAGGGACAGGGCTGGGAAGGTAGCTCAGTGGTAGAGTGCTTGCCCTGCATGCATGAGGCCCTGGGTTCGATTCCTTAGCACCACATAAACAGAAAAAGCCAGAAGCGGCATTGTGCCTCAAGTGGTAGAGTGCTATGCCTCAAGTGTTACAGCGCGAGCCTTGAGCTGAAGAGCTGAGGGACAGCGCCCAGGCCCAGAGTTCAAGCCCCACGACTGACAAAAAAAAAAAAAAAAAAAAGCAGGAGGACAGCGTTTACTTCAAACCCCAGAGGGCCACCCTCCTCACCCCCACCCAGGCAGTGATTACTCCAATTTTTTTTTCCTTCAAATGGGTGGGAAAGGGCTTGAGACTGGGTAATGATGTATAGCTCAGGCTGCTTTGAAACTCATGACCCTTCTAAGTCTTGCAATTACATGTGTGTACTACCATGAATGGCATGGCTGGTCCAAACTGTGTGCTTTGAGTGTAGCATATACACATGGGAGTGGTATGAAAAAAACAAAATACCTCAGTAATATTTTATGCTGATTACATATTGAAATTATATGTTGAGTAACACTACAAATGTCAACTTTTTAAGACAGTACTCCCAGGACACTAAATGTCACGCAAGCATTATGTTTAAACTCTACATTCCCAGGAATGTAGTGTGCCTATGTTTTTTATTTTTTTTTGCCAGTAGTGGGGCTTCAACTCAGGGCTTGGATGTTGTCTCTGAGCTTTCTAACACTTGAGTGACAGCTCCACTTTGATTTTTGTGGTTAACTGGAGATATGAGTCTCATGGACTCTTCCTGTCTGGGCTGGCTTTGAAACATGATCTTCAGATCTCAGCCTCCTAAGTAGCTGGGATTACAGGTATGAGCCATAGGCGTCTGGCAAGCAAACCATTTTTATTCTCTTTTTTCTTTTAACCAAAGAGAAGCTATTACATAAACATGTATGGAAAATAAGCAGAGGCTCCTCTTCACTTATTATGTTAGAGTAAGTTAGATATAAAGTGTACATGGATGAAATGAATGAATAAACATAGCAGACAAATAAAGAGACAGTGTAAATTATTTATACTTAATCTAAAAGAGAGAAAGAAAGTAGATTTTTTCGGTGGTGATCCTTGGGTTGGGACTCAGCCCTGTGCTTTCCAGGCAAGTTTTGTACCTTCTAGAATCACACCTCTTGCCCTATGTTGAAGTGAGAAAATTGAAGTGGCCAAAAGGCCTGGTTTGCAGGCATTTCTCATCCTCTATCCTAAATGGTGGCTGTTGGACCTGTAACTTGGATAAAGCTTTATATATTTTAGGTTTATCAAAATGCTACTATATCACCATATGGCTGCCCAAGATATACTTCATTGTTTTGATCAGCAGATGGTATTTTTTTCTTTTTTTTTCTTTAAGATCGTGACTCTATATCAAACACAATTAACATTCTCTATTAGTAGAGTTATTATTTGTATAATTAAATTTGCAATTGGCACTTGATGATCCAAATATTAAGTGTCATGTCCCCTGAGCAAAGTTCAGGTTCTCTGATACAAAGTTGAAGAGCCTACAAGTTTAAATTTTTCTTTAATATAATAAGTAACAGACTATTTTTCAAAATCTACTTGGTATGGTGAACTTGAATTGCTAGGCCTGGTAATACTTTTCATTGTAGGAATAACTAGCTTTTCTACATAGCTCTTACCCTATACCCTGAGCCCTACTCTGCTTTGTTAGCCTTGTCCAATACTTTGGGATGTAGTCCTTTGGTTTGTTTTTTTTTTTAATTTTATTTGTGAACATACTGTACAGAGGAGTTACAATTACATGGGCAGGATAATGCGTACATTTCTTACCAAGCATTGCAGCCTCCTCCTTTGTTTACCCTTCACATCCCTTCCCAGCCTCCCCCCTCCCCCCCAATCCCAATCCTTCTCCTTCCTCCCCCTTCCCCCCCCTTTATTTTTATCATTCTAAATCTAGTCTCTATCATCATAGATATGTCAGAATTGGCATGTTGGTCTAAATATCTGGGAATAAATCTATTTCTTCCACTGTTCTCCCCACAAATTTAAAAAAAAAAAAAAAAGTATACATGGAACAATTTTCCCAGTTGCTAATGACATCTTGCTCCCTGCATCTTATTAGCATTCATAAGAACATGTAGTTTCCTAATTCTTTTTTTTTTTTTTTGGGTCCGGTCGTGGGGCCTGAACTCTGGGCCTGGGCGCTGTCCCTCAGCTCTTCAGCTCAAAGCTAGCGCTCTACCACTTGAGCCACAACACCACTTCCGGCTTTTTTCTTTTTTCTTATGTGGTGCTGAGGAATCAAACTCAGGGCCTCAGGCATGCAAGGCAAGCGCTCTACCACTGAGCCATCTTCCCAGCCCATAGTTTCCTAATTCTTTTACTGTTTGATATGCATATACTACATGTGTGGCTGCATTTTTTAAACTATCTTAATGGCATTTAAAAAGATTTAAATATGTACCATAGGCTAGTTACTTTTGTGATTTCAAGTTGTTCATGCCAATGCTGAAACATAAAATCTGACACAGTTTTAAAATAGTATCTGGCAGCTTGTAGCTCAACCTAGTTCTACCTTTCCACTGGAGTCCCACCAGCCCATCCCCTTCTCTGGTGTAGGCACATGAAACACAGCAGATGTTTTAAGTGTACATCATACATTTATTACCAACAACCCTCTCAACTCCAAAATTGGGCACAGGGATTAAAAATAAAAATTCATTGCACTACTTAGTAAAGCATTACTAGTAACTTTCATAAAAAATGTACAAACTTTGTTAAAAATTTATCAAGCCTTCAAATGATTTGGTTACAGATATTTATAATACGTACATTTAAAATGATATGTTAAGTGATACAATGGAATATGATTTGAGGAAGTGACTCAGCAAATGATTCCAATAAACACCCCTGCTGTGAGCTTTCATAATCTGAAATGAATAGCAAAATGAGGTGACCAAATGTACCAACAGGGGAAAATCGCTTTCTAATGAAGGCCTCTAGATAGCTGTGAAAAATATTTTCACGAGTTGGTATATCTCATTCAAAATCATTACAGGAGGCCCAAATTTAAGAATCTTACAAATCACATTTCAGAGTGTATAAAATCTGCTTTCACATTTTCCAGATTTTGCTCAAAAATAAATTCAGGACAGAAAATCTTAATATGAGATTTTGATACTTAGAGGCCTTGAATTGTTTTTTGGGGAATGGCAGTTTTTGTTTTTGTTTTTTAATGTGAAAATTCATTGCCAAAAAACAAAAACCACCCCTCAAACCTAAAAACACCCACAGCTGATTTAAGTTGGTAAAGCCAATATTGTTTTAATAGGCAACAAAATGACATCTGCCTGCTATATGGTGCATCACTCAAGGTGACAACAGCCGCGCATGAATCAACTATTCTTCTCATTTGCTAGCCACAAAGATGCTCACTGTGGCCAGTCTGAGGAGGACACATGCATGTGTGCTCCTAATATGAACCACTTAGTAAGCAACTCTGGACATCTCTAAGAGCCCCATGCAAAGACAAGACATTACTAAAGAGAGATCAGTCACAACAGCACAACAATTAAACTCAAGAATTTACCAAACAGACCCTGCTGCCTCCTAAACTGCCAACTACCTCTCAAAAATTTACTGGAAAGGGAACATTATGACAAGAATTCCTAGTCAGAAGGAAAGAAAAAGCTACTTTTCCTAGTCATTAGTACAATGTGCCTTGTTAATTAGTTATTTCTATATAAATTAGAAAAAGTGCTTTACTTGCATGCTTCAATAAAATGGAATACCGAGTGTAATAGTGTCATGTTAGATCTGTACAGATACAAATTTTCTGCAGCTATATAAAAGACTCTATGTATAAGATGGGCCCTTGCCATTTTAAACATGATTTTTTTAATTAAAAAAATAAAGATTAAACTGTATGTGATTTGTATTGTAGCTATTATATGCCTTTTATTCATCAGGAACAGGAGGGGGATTATCCTAATGATTTAAAAGTAACATGTGCACATTACCACCATTAAAGTGTATTTCTGATGCACTGACAAATCTAGGGGTTAACGAAGTAGGCAAAATTCTATTTGACTAGATAGAGGCAACAGTGTCTGGAAGAGGAAAAAATTGTGCTTCTGTGTGTATTGACTTTACTGAACTCTAGGCTGTGATGAGCTTATCGAGACTTCAAGGGAGGGCAAGCAGCATGGCAGTAACAAGTAGTTAATACTGTCTGAGTACAAAACTGACTCAGAGCCAAATGAACATTGAGTGAGGCTGGCAGCAAGTTATCACAGTCCCGATTGGAGTAATGTAGCATGTGCTACTGCAAATAAAGCAATGACAACTGCAGGGCGAGACAGACAATGCTAAATACACTGAATGAGAAAGAAATCTAAATATTGCTGGGAAAGTGACTTGAAATAATCTGAATTACGTTCAATGAACCTATTAAAAAGAGACGGCTCTGTATTATTTCAGGTCAACTAAATGAAGGTCAATTCCTGTTTGACAGCATTATTATTTTTTTTATAAAAAAATCAAATCATTTATACTGCAAGTATTCTGGACACCTGTTAAACTTTTCTCATTCAAACAAGAATTAAAAGGAAAAGCAGCTAAGATCAAAGCAAATCAGGCCTACAAACACGAGCTGTCACAGCACTTGATCTATCCCGAAATAAGATTGGAAATGAGAAGCACATTTACGGAGGGAAGAGCAACTAGACAACTCTCAGAACTGGAGCATGGCAAGTGAACAATATGAACAGAAATATAGTTTCTTAAAATAGTTTAGTTGCCTATGGGAGCTTGAACAAAAAACATATATCAGAAATCAAGCTGAGTGAGTTAAGAGATTTTGTTCTGGTGGAAGTCAAGGAGGTGAGACTTCACGGGACCAGTGGTATTCTTAGAAATATATTACTCAAATATTTTCAGAAGAGACTACAAATCTAAACATTAAAAAAATCACAGGTACTTTCTGTAAGAAGCTTACTGGAAATGTAAAGAACAAGAAAGTATCAACATTCAAATCATTGATTGAAATGCTAATATTGCTAACTGATGATGTATGATATTGCACCTTCTTTTTGGAAACAGCAAGTTAAGAGATTAAAATTTTTTTTTTCACAACAGAATAAAAAAAAAAATCAGGTCATGGAGTGAGAATCTGTTACACTTTTTTCTTAAGTAATCCCAGTTAGGACCACTAATGAAGAGAAGGTGACAGCTGCCTGAAGCAAAGGAAGAAGGCTTTTCTCATTCCATTCACTGGGAGGGAAGGGGATGGAGTATTCAATGCTTATAATTGATGCACCCTTAGCAATCAGTGTGCAACAGCAAACACAAGGAAAAACCAGTGTACAGTACTAGTGCTGTTTAAATAACACACCAGATTATACATTGCAGCATAATTAAAACTACACACACATTCTTGGTACATGCTGGTATATAGGATCTCATACACACGTTAGCTACCATGCCCTCACGCAAGTAGTTGCACACTCTCTCTCACACAGATGCACTTATCACCAACAGTCATACATTGCATTCATTTCCACTCACAGTTTCTGAAGGCTCTATATAAGGTAGATTGCTATATCATCTGGAGCTACCACTTTTTATAAAAGCACATGCTAAAAGATCACGTCCACTGTAATCTTGCAGCAACACTCGGAATGATCACACAAAAACCAGGGAATGTTAGTGCACACACAAAATTAAGCTAAAGAAAAAGTCTTTGGAGTTCCAATCACACTGTTAGTATAACAATCCCATAATTGTGAAGACTAATTGTAAGCTTTTATAGTTGATTAAGTCACACAGTGCAAAGAAAGGTCCATTGACCCTTTTGGTAAAGGGAGGGCTGGAAGCCACACAGATTAAGTTCAATGGATAGTCCGTATATACATGTGATGAGGAACACCCAAACTAAATTTGTGCTCTTAGGTTGGTCATTCTGAATCCCGATGCACTTCTGAAGCATCAGCTCGGCAAATTGGGCAAGTACGATTTGCCTAAAAAACAAAAGAGGAAACTTATCTGAACTGTGATTTTATACAATAAAAATATATTAATAATGGAACTTCTTTCATTTCCAATATTCTTTTAACATTGTTTCTTTAAAAAGCTACCAAACAATACTGTGTTTTAAAAAACACCCCAAAACAAAACACAAATCTCACTAATATAAGGTTACCCTTTTCCCCACTTTTTATTGTTACTGGAGTTTTGACTCAGTGATCTGCGCTTGCTAGACAGGTGCTCTGTAACTTGAGTTATACCTTTAGCCCTTTTTCTTCAGTTTATTTTTGTTTTGACTGGTCAGAGACATTGGGTCACCTATCTCCACCTGGCTACCCATGGTTTTTTGTTGCTGTTGTTGTTGTTCTGGCATTTAAACTCAAGAACTCATGCTTGCTAAGCAAGCACTGTAATAGTTGAGCCATGCTCCTAGACCATCAAGGTGTTTGTGTGTGTGTTGTGTATGTGTGTGTGAGATGGGGCTTGAACTTAGGGGCTCGAACTTAGGGGCTCTAGCTCTTATTTGGCTTTTTTGTTCTATCACTTGAGACACACATCCAGTTCCAACCTTTTTCTGGTTAACCTGTCAGGTCTGTGTTCCTGAGCTGGCTCCAAACTGAGTTTCTCAGATTTCAGTCTTCTGAGTGGCTAGGATTATAGGCCTGAGCGACTGGCACACCTGGCTAACCTTATCTTCTGATTTATTTATTTATTTATTTTGGTCCAACCTAGGACTTTAACTCAGGGCCTGGGCGCTGTTCCTGAGCCTTTTTGGCTTGAGGATAGAACTCTATCACTTTGAGCCATATCTGGTTTTCTGGGGGTTAGTTGGAGATAAGAATCTCACAGGGACTTTTCTGCCCAGGCTGGCTTTGAATCTCAATCTTCAGATCTCAGCCTCCTGAGCAGCTAGGATTACAGGTGTAATCAGGCACCAGTAGTGCCTGATCACATACTGTTTACTGGTACTTAGGAACAAGCTCTGATGGTAAAACAGGTGACTGTCTATATTCATGGATTGACTTTTCTCCTACTTCAATTTCTTCATAGCAAATGGCACCACCATCTGCCATACTGCTAAAGCCAGAAACGTAAGCATTGCTTGCTCTTACTTCCAATAGTCCACTATTCACCAGTCTCATTTCTATGGCTTTCAGAGAGTAGTCCTCCTGCCACTGTCACTCCACATTGACCAGCTCATTCCATATTTATTCCATTACCCTTTCCAAACACATCAGTCATGGGATCCTCCTTTGCTTGCAAGATCAAGTGCAAATTCCTTCATGCTTCAGAGTGACTTTAAAATAGGTTGGTTATTATTTTCCTACACCCCCTTCCCTTTCTATTCTCTTTAACACTCCAGTTATTAGACATATAGAACTCACTTGAAACACTGCTTTCTATAAACCAGAACATTTTGCTACAAGAAACTAAAGTTGACTGAAACCTTTCATTGCATCACATTCTTACTCATGTTTTATTCTTAATTAGATAAGACTATGAAAGTACAAAGACTACAACTCAGTGCAGTGGGGCACACTTGTAATCCCAGCTACCCAGAAGGTAGAGGCAGGAGATTCCAGCACAGGCCAAAGTTTAGCAAGAATATATTTTAAAAAAAGATAATAACAATAAAAGGGCTGGCACTGTAGCTCATGTGTTAAAAGAGTACCTGCCTTGCCGGGTGCTGGTGGCCTATAAACAACTACTCAGAAGGCTGAGATCTGAGGATTATGGCTTGAAGGCCTGTCCAGGCAGGGAAGTCCTTGAAATCTTTATCTACAATTAATTATCAAAAAATTGGAAGTAGAGCTGTGGCTCAAGTGGTAGAGTGCTAGCCTTGAGCAAAAAAGCTCAAGGACAGTATGTAGGCCCTGAGTTCAAGCACCAGGATGGTACAAAAACAAACAGAAAAACAGAAAAAAAAAAAAAAAAAGAATACTTAGGTTAGTAACTAGTATAAAAAAACCAAGTATAAAGCCTGAAGAAAATGGGAGGGAAAGAAGCTTCTGCAATAATACTCTGGCATATCTACTATTATCTATCTGTGGCTTTTAGGCTTTTTTTTTCCATGTAAGAGAATAGGTCAGAATGAAATACAACTACAGTTTATTCTTCAAGAAAAATCTATGGCAAAAGAGCCCTAGTGACGTTCCCTTCTAAACTCAGAAGTAACTGTGATCTAACCAGTTCGGTCTTGTCCTTGAGCAAGAATATACCACATGAAAATTAGATCACATGATTATCAAGGATGAGCAACTAATTTTCAGGTTTTACATACTCACTTTCATGTTAATGACTACAAGTTATTTTATTTTTTCCTGTGACACTGGGAATAAAACCCAAGGCCTGTACATGATAAACAGATGCCATACCACTGTTCACTAACCATTTTTTTCATCTGAATAGATCATTCTGAAAGCTGTGTTTCAATTTCATCTCCTTTGTCCAACCTCCACAAAATCACACAGTTATGAAACTATGGTCAGTAAAATAGAAACTTCACTGTTGTAGATGCCATCACTTTACCTTAAGCCATTTGTCAACACACTTGGCATGGAACTCGTGGTTACAGGGTAAGACTCTAAGTAGCTGCCTTGACTCAAAATCACACATGCATACTACACACCTGCAAAAAGCAAAGAGATCACTTAATCGTAAAACTAAATAGCTTTCTATTTTGTTATGACTAATGAAGCCTGCAAAACCGTTTATTCTCAATCATCAAACCATCTCTTAAATTTTTAGAAAAACTTACCAATACCCTGAAAAGTAATAAAGTTAAGGCATTTAAGTGTTTTGTTTGATTTATAGATTATCAGAAAATTTCTCATGAATAACATATTAAAATTGAAGATACTACCTACTAAAAGTATAATAGTCTAGCTCTTTCTTTTAGATAAAGTTTAGCTTTAAAAAAAAAAAAACCAAATCATTTCAGCTTTAAGATAAAATGAACACAAAAAAAAAAGTAACAGGAAATAAAGGGCTGTGAATATAGCTCAGTGGTAGAACAGTTGCCTAGCATGTATAAGGTCTTAGGTTTGATTCTCAATCACCAAAACTCACTCACTCAATCACAGAATGCAAGACATTTAAAAAAAAATATCAAGCTGGGCACTGGTGGCTCACCACCTATAATCCTAGCTACTCAGGAGGCTGAGGTCTGAGGCTCACAGTTCAAAGCCAGCCTGTCCAGAAAAGCGTTTGAGACTCTTATCTCCACTTAACGTCTAGAAAACTGGATATGGCACTGTGGCTCAAACTGGTATAGTGCTAGCTTTGAGCAAAAGAGCTCAGGGACAGCTCCCAGGCTCTGAGTTCAAGGGCCACCAAAAAATAAAAAATAAAAAGGTGACCCCCAAAAAAAAGAAAAAAAAAAAAAGAAATAACTTTTGTCAAAGCTCATAGAACTCATAAACCTTATAGACCATGATAAAGACAATTTGCCCCATGGGGGGGAAGCATTAAATGACTGCAACATTTGTTCTCAAAAAAAAAAAAAAGACTTTACCTGATAAGTGATGGGCAGCTGTACTTGATAAAGAATTTGAATAGACAGTTTCCCAAAAAGGAGATGCACACACAGGAAAAGATTTTTTTTTTTTTTTTTGGGGTCCGGTCGTGGGGCCTGAACTCTGGCCTGGGCGCTGTCCCTCAGCTCTTCAGCTCAAGGCTAGCGCTCTGCCACTTGAGCCACAGTGCCACTTCCGGCTTTCTTTTTGCTTATGTGGTGCTGAGGAATCGAACCCAGGGTCTCAGGCATGCAAGGCAAGCACTCTGGCACTGAGCCACCATCCCAGCCCCGAAAAAGATTCTTAACTTTAGTAATCATCCATCAGGAGAAACAAAAATCAAAACCTCAGTGAGATACCACTTCAAATCTATTAGGATGGCTAAAAAAGAGAGACAGTGACAAGTGCTAGAGGAAATGTAGAAAGACTAAAACATCTGTACATCGCTGGAGAGAATATAAAATGCTGTCACTTTGCAAAAACTGGCAGCTCTCTTTTGGGTAAATTAAGGCTGTGATATGACTCACCAACTGACTTCCAAGCATATACTTTTAGGTATATATCCACAGAAAAACTATATAATTACGGGCTGGGAAGGTGGCTCAGTGGTAGAGCGCTTGCCTTGCATGCCCGAGGCCCTGGGTTTGATTCCTTAGCACCACATAAGCAAAAAGAAAAAAGCCAGAAGTGGTGCTGTGGCTCAAGTGGTAGAGCGCTAGCCTTGAGCTGAAGAGCTGAGGGACAGCACCCGGGCGCAGAGTTCAGGCCCCACAACTGGACCCCCACCCCCAAAAAAGAAAAACTATATAATTATATTCAAAGTAGCATTATTTATAATAGCCAATCATCAACTGATAAAAGAATAAACAATATGATATCCACATACAATGGACTATTATTTGGCATTAAAAATGACTTGCTGATAAAAGATGCAACATAGATAAACTTCGAAAAGGTTATGCTAAGTGAAAGAAGGCAGACACAAAAGACTAAATTCTATTATCTGGTTTAGGTAAAATCTATGGAGAAATAAAGTAGATAAAGCAGATGATGAAGGAAGTTGGGAAAAACAGAAGTAGCTGCTGGCAGGGTAAAGGCTTTTTGTTGAGGTGATGAAGGTCTAAATTTGTTTGACTGTTTGATATACTAAACGCCACCAAACTGTACTTTAAAGAGGTAAAATTTATGGTATGTAAGTTACATCTCATGTTCTACATTTATACCTCCCAACAGCAGTCAGAAATTTAAACAGTTCTACCTGACCAGTGGCTACCTTATTGGTTAGCATATACTCAAGAGTATAAAATACAGATAACTTACCTTTATCAAGTTATCTCTGACTCTCAAGCTTTTATTTCATAAAGACAGAAAAGGAAATTTAACAGTGATGTCAGAAAAATATATACTTACAAAGTCTGTTCTGACTGGTGGTTGTTAGGATTGAACCGATACGAAGGAAGTTGTTCAATATCTGCTTTTGTCAGTCCTCGAGGTTTAGCCTCTCCTAGTCTCTCTGCCAGGTTTAATAGGGCCTATAGAGAGAAAAGTAGACATTTTTTCATCTTTCCTTATATTTTCTATTTTTTTGTTTTTGTTTTTTAGTGCTCGGGACATAACCCAGACCTTTGGGCATACAAGGCAAGTACTCTAAATTCAGCCCTATGATAATTAAAATATATTTGTTTACATAGAAAAATTTAAATTTGCATGAAATACAGAGAAATAGTGTAAAGAACATATTTAGGCTAATAGTTAAATCTTATTTCATTTATCACTATTCAAAATGCTAGATTATTTTCAAACAAAACTAAAAGATGATGATGTTTTACTGGAAACTAATTTTATGTCTAGATAAAAATTTACCAAAAACGAACACTTCCCAGTTTCAACAATCAAATGCTAGATATTGCCAAATATGCTGAAAGACACATCTTTCCCTGGGTTGAGAACTACTTCATTTAAAAATACTTCCTTCACTTGACAATACATAAACATACTTTTTTTTAAAAATGTAGACTATAGCACAAACAGCATTAACAGACTTTCAGCTCTGAGGAACTTAGAAATGACAAAATGATTGTCTACCCATGTAGAGGAAAGAGATTCAAAAGCAGTTTTTCTTCTGCCAATTCCTTTGAAGTAAGATTCATCTTCTATGTGAGAAATCACTTACTAGGGTGACTTTCAACAAATTTCCAGGTCCTGTTCTGGATAACAACTGGGGCTGAACAGAGTGGATCACTGCTAGGCTAACATTATACCAACATATTATACCAACTCATCAGCAGTAGTGATTCTCAGGAGAACAAACTCTCTTTCTGGGGTCCCAAATCAGATGTCTCTGATGTGGTCAAAGATGGCTTTCATAAAAAGACATTACACTGGATTTTTTTTTTCTTGCATTAATGGCAGCAGCACTATGATGCTACAAGGTCCTGATACATTCTCCCTTGGGCTACCTATCACCTTTCATAGCTACAGTTAGCACCAAATTTCTTTCCCTGCAACTTCACCTCAGTATGGTTAACGTCAAGATACTCAGTTTCTCTGGGCCTGGGCACTGTCCCTCAGCTCTTCAGCTCAAGGCGAGCACTCTACCACTTGAGCCATAGCACTACTTCTGGTTTTCCGAGTGCTTACTGGAGATATGAGTCTGGACTGGCTTTAAATCATGATCCCCATAACTCAGCCTCCTGAGTAGCTAGGATTACAGGCATGACAACCCTTTTTTTGTGCTAGTCCCGAGGCTTGAACCCAGGGCCTGGCTACAATCTATGAGCGTTTCTGCTCAAGGCTAGCACTTTGAGCCACTGCTCAAAACTCCCAATTTTGGGGGGATTTACTGGAGGTAAGAGTCTCATGGACTTTCTTGCCCAGGCAGACTTCAAACCACCATCTTTAGATCTCAGTCTCCTGAGCATTTTAGGATTATAGGCATGAGTCCCACTGGTGCCTGGCTTTCTATACAACACTCCTTATTAGTAGTCATACACTAAGTTTGAAAGTTAATCGAGGAAGTGGCTCTGTGGGTCAAAGTGGTAGAACACTAGCCTTGAGCAAAAAGAACTCAGGGACAGCACCAGGCCCTGAGTTCAAGCTCCATGACCTCTATGACCATGACCACTACCACCACCACCAAAAAAAAAAAAAAAAAAAAAAAGAAAGGAAAGGAAAGAAAGAAAGAAAAAAAGAGTAAATTTGAGATGTAGTTCTGCTGTAATCCAAACCAGTCAAGCAACTGAAGTTCTCAGATCTCAGCCTCCTAAGTAGCTAGGATTACAGGTATAAGCACCCAGCAAGGATGATAAAGTCTTGATTTCATATTTCAGTCTGTACTCAATGTAATCCAGAACAGAATCAGCTTTCTTTCTTTTTTTTTTTGGAGGGGGGGGGGGGGGGGGTGGGTCCGGTCGTGAGGCCTGAACTCTGGGCTTGGGCGCTGTCCCTCAGCTCTTCAGCTCAAGGCTAGCGCTCTACCACTTGAGCCACAGCGGCACTTCCGGCTTTTTTCTTTTTGCTTATGTGATGCTGGGGAATTGAACCCAGGGCCTCATGCATGTAAGGCAAGGACTCTACCACTGAGCCACCTTCCCAGCCCCAGAATCAGCTTTCTTAACTATCATCAGTTTTACTTTCTGAGTTCATGTTGAATTGTTGACATTCCTCCAACCACCTTAATTATGATTTATGTTTCTTTGGTGATCAATAATGCTGAGTATCTTATCTTCCCATATAACCACTAGCCAATTTTATGTCTTCTTTTGGGTAATTTCTGTTCAGGTATTTTTGTCTATTTTTAATCTATTATCCTAATTTTACTATTGAATTGTGTAATTCCTTACATATTTTGCGTATTCTTTTTCGAATATATGGTTTTATAAATGTTTTCTCTACATTCACACTTCATTTTTGTTTTAGAAATACCATTCTTAACATCTACAAACCCATCTATTCCTTCACACTATAACATCTAATGAAAATTCACCATTTTCTCATTTGTATTCTCACTGAAGGTATAACTCTAATAACATCAGTCTTCCTACTTATCACAGATAAGTAGGTTCAAGTATCTTTAAAGATGATGACAATTATGACATAAATTTTGAAATGCACAAAATGTTTACTTAGTAAACATTTAATCAGATGAAGGAGACGAGTAGAACAATACTTTTATGTACATAATACTCCCCAAATTAATTCACTTTACTACTAACCTCATAATTTTCTACTTCTCCATCTTCCACATCCAATTCAAAGCTGAAAGTTGGGCCCACTGCAGGTGGCACTGGAAGCATTGATCTATAGTGAAAACAACCATGCTATTGTTATAATATGTTAGTACATGAATTCAATGAACAGGTTAAGAAGGACAAAACCACTGGTCTAAGAATGAAAAATGGGCCAGGAACCATTGGCTCATGTCTATATAATCTGGCTACTCAGGAGGCTGAAATCTGAGAATTCTAGTTCAAACCCAACCTAGGCAGGAAAGTAAGTCCACAGACTCTTATTTCCAAAGTTATTTGTAGGAAACAAAAAAAAAATCTGGAAGAGGAGTTCTACCTCTAAGGGGTAGAGTACTAGCCTTGGAACTTTGACAAAAAAACAAAAAAAACCCTCAAAACCCACAAGGACAGTGGCCAGGCTCTGAGTTCAAGCCCAGGAGAGGCACAAAAACAAACAAACAAAAAAATCACAAAACCCCCAACTTCCCTCCTAAATCCAACTGTGGATTTGATACAATCCCTATCAAAATCCAGAAGCTTGTTAACTGACATACTGATTTTAAATTTTAAATGGAAATGCAAGAGACCTTCAATAGAAACATTTTAAAAAACAAATTTGGGAGATAATACTATCTAATTTTGAAACAGATTAAGAAAATGGCCGAGTGGGAAGAGGGAAACAGGAGTTAAAAATGATCAAAACCACGTAATATAGGCACATGGCCTCCTACAGATAAAGACTGAATTTCTTACATTTCCTGGAAGGTAATTAATACCTGGTATGTGATTGAGTTCCAGGTAGTGAACTAGAAATACAGACAAGTGTAGTATATACTTCTAGGAAATTGCCTGAAGAAAATCAAGTAGGCATGACAACTAGATCCTTTTCTCCTCTTTATGGAGAAAAAGCCTAAAGATTTTGAGGAAGAACCATTTCTCTACTTGAACCACCTGAAATTGCCTACATCTAGACTTCTTATCATGTCTAACCTAAATAACTATTATGGTCTAACCTAGAGATTTTCACTATAGATAATCCAAACAGAGTAGTTCTAAGACTCAGAAATAACTTCTTATCTCTTTTATTCTTCAGAAGGAAACATCAAAATCTGGATAATAAAATGGTAGAAAAAATAATGCAAGCTATAAAAATGGTAAAACTCATCCTTTTTGGTCTCTTGATTTTGTCAAAAGGATAACAGAATTCTTCATTTCTCCCATGTCTGTTCCTTTTTTTGCCCTACTCTAACTTACCCTATAACATCAAGTAAAAATATTATTTAACACATCCTAAGTAGACCACATAGAAGGCATACATAAAGAATCTCAAGATTAAAAAATTCATAATTCAGTAGAAGAACTTACAACACATATGGCAGTAAGCTGGGATGATAAGGGGGAGGTGGTATTGGCTGCTGGGATCGGTATCTACTACGTCCTGTGAGCCTCCGAGGCATAAATGGAGGATAAGGCTGTAGAGGGAAAGGGTAACAGAATTTAAGGCCATTCTAAATCTGTCGAAACCACAGTCTTAGGAAATTATTTAGTTTAAATGGTATTTTTAATTTCTTTAATGCTAATATAAATGCAACAACCAGTTTTAATCCCATCTAGACATATTATAAATACCATCTTCCAAATGAATGCATATATACTAAACATGTTCAGAGTTAATACTGAAACAACTCAGAATAAATTCTCAAAGCAAGTATTAATGTAACAATGAAAACTTACTACTCCAAAGGACACCTCCTGATGCAAAGGATCATGTGTCAAGAACTGCAAAGGAGTTGATGGAGGTAATGTTGGGGGATGGGCTGAAGGGGGGTAAGTAAAACTTCCTACTTGAAGATGCTCTCCTAAGAGTTCCACTTCATTTTCTATCCTCTGCAGAGGCTGTGGAGAAGAAAGAAAAATTAATATAGTTCCAGTGCTTAGATTACCCTTTAGTAATAATAAAAATTAAGAATAAAAAGTCTGTAAGGCCATGCATCTCATTTTCAACAATCTAAATTTCACAAGTGGCAGATACTATAGTAAAAATTGTCTACTTTTTAGCACATCTTTGAAACCTGTTATTAAGCATTTCTGTTATCCATTATATTATACATTTCATATAATATTTGAACTTCCTCTAAGTCAATTATTTGAAAAATAAAATTTTCTTTTCAATCTGATCTACTCAAAGAATTTCCAAGACATTTATCCTTTCACAGATGAACTAGTATGTATTTTAATAAATCAGAAGCAAAGTTAAGTGAGATAACGGTAAGATTACGAGATCTGACATTAGACAGTATCTTGGCACTGTCATCAACTGACTTAGTGACAAACTACTTAACCTAAATCTTAATATTCCACTTATAAACGGTCATGCTCATAACTGAATTCAAAAATGTATCATTAAAGCCAGGTGCTGATGGCTCAGACCTGCGATCTTCAAATCATTCAGGCACAGCACCCAGGCCTCCTAGAATCAACACACACACACACACGCACGCACGCACGCACGCACGCACACGCGCGCGCGCACACTATTATGGAACTGGAAGTGTGATTTGAATGGAAGGTAGAATGTAGGCCTTGTAAGTGCAAACCCTGACTTCAAAGCTTAGTACCACTAGGAAAAACAGGGTTATTATAGTTGGGCAGAGTGGTACATGTTTTTCAACCTAGCTTTTGCGAGGCAATGGCAGAAGGATTTTTTTTTTGGTCGTCAAGGGGCTCGAACTCTGGGCCTGGGACTGTCCTTCAGCTCTTCAGCTCAAGGCTAGCACTCGGTAGAGCCACAGCACTACTTCTGGCTTTTTCTGTTTATGTGCTACTGAGGAATGGAACCCAGGACCTCATAAATCCAAGGCAAGCACTCTACCACTCAGCCACCTTCCCAGCCCAGCAGGAGGATTTTGAGTTCTAGGCCAAACTGGGTTGGATAGTGAAACCTTGACTCAAAAAAAAAAAAAAAAAAAAAAAAAAGTAATTGTGAATACTCAGTTTATGTGTGTGTGTGTGTGTGTGTGTGTGTGTGTGTGTGTGTATAGTGCTATGTCAAAGCATGTACTGTTTTCTTTTGAGACAAGGTCTTGCTATGTATGTAGTGCATGCTGGCCTCAAATGTGAGATTCTCTTAAACTCAATGAATTTAGAATTAATTTTAATTCCAAAAATATTTTCATCATCCTAAAACAAAAACAAAACATAAAGCAATGATTATTAGCAGTCACTATTTATTTCTCCTGTGTATCCCTAAGTAACATATTCTTTTTCTAAGAATTTCCCTATTGTGGTCATTTCATATAAATGGAATATGTGTCCCCTGTACTTAGCTTTTTTTGCTTAATGTGTTTCCAAAGCTCATCTACTTTGTGGACTGACTTCATTCAATACTTCATTCCTTTTTATGGTTGAATAGTATCCCATTATATAGACTGTGCATCCATTCATCAGTTCAATGACCATCTAGACCCTTCTTTCCTTCCTTCCTTCCCTTTTTTTTGGCCAGGCCTGGGGCTTGAACTCAGGGCCTGGGCACTGTCCTTGAGCTCCTTTTGCTCAAGGCTAGCACTTTACCACTTGAGTCACAGCACCACTTCTGGCTTTTTTTGTTTATGTGGTGCTGAGGAATCGAACTGAGGGCTCCATGCATGTTAGGCAAGCACTCTACCACTAAGCCACATTCCCAGCTCTAGACTGTTTCTTTAGATGGCAGAAATAATGCCTTTTTTTAGATGGCAGGAATAATGTTATACACATGTGCACTAAATTGTGTTGATGCTTTCAATTCAATTCATGTAATTTTACAGTTAATCTAACTTAGTTATAATATAGCAATGTATTATTCAAATATGGTGATTACTAATTCTTTATTATTTACATTCTTTTTCTGGTGGGACTGGGAAGGGGGTGTCTGATTCAGAATTCATTCTTGCTAGCAAGGCAGTCTACTACTTGAGTGAAACCTCTAGCCCTTTTTTATAGTTTGTTTTTGCCCAGGCCAGTCTGGAACACAATTTCCCAATTTACATTTACTGCAAAACTGCCATGACAGGCACATATTACAACATTCAGGCACTGGTTGAAATGAAGTATTTATTACTTTTTGACTGAGTTGGCCTCAAATTCAGTCCTCCCTTATCTCTGCCTTATCTCTGTGAGGGACTGGGTTCAACTCTAACATTTGAATTTGAAAGCTTATAACATGCATGAGCTATCTTAACTGTTGATACTATAACAATACTAAGAACCCTAAGTTAGGGGCTGGGAAGATGGCTCAGTGGTAGAGCGCTTGCCTTGCATGCCTGAGGCCCTGGGTTCGATTCCTCAGCACCACATTAGCAAAAAAAAAAAAAAAAAGCCGGAGGTGGCGCTGTGGCTCAAGTGGTAGAGCGCTCGCCTTGAGCTGAAGAGCTGAGGGACAGCGCCCAGGCCCAGAGTTCAGGCCCCACTACAGGACCCAAAAAAAAAAAAAAAAAAATAAGAACCCTAAGTCCTAATTTGGCTAAGTATCTGGATATTTTAATTAATTAATTAATTAATTGTAGGTTGTGGGTCTTGAACTCTGGGCATTGTCCCTCAGCTCTTCAGCTCAAGGCTAGCACCCTACCACTTGAGCCACAGTGCCACTTCTTGTTTTTCTGAGTGGTTTATTGGAGATAAGACTCTTGTGGACTTTCCTGCCTGGGCTGGCTTTTAACTGTAATCCTCAGATCTCAGGCTCCTGAATAGCTAGCATTGCAGGTATGAGACTGGATGTGTCTGTATCTTTTTTTTGGGGGGGTGGGGGTGGGGGTGGGGGGGGTGGGTGTCTGGTCGTGGGGCCTGAACTCTGGGCCTGGGTGCTGTCCCTCAGCTCTTCAGCTCAAGGCTAGCGCCACTTCCGGCTTTTTTCTTTTTGTTTATGTGGTGCTGAGGAATCAAACCCAGGGCCTCATGCATGCAAGGCAAGCGCTCTACCACCGAGCTACCTTCCCAGCCCAGTGTCTGCATCTTTTATAACAATTCCAAACTTTTTTTTTTAATTGGTTGTGGGGCTTGAGCTCAGGGCCTGGGTGCTGACCCTGAGTTCTTTTGCTCAAGACATTCTGCCACTTTGAGCCACAGCTCCACGTCTGGTTTTTGAGTAGTTTACTGGAGATGAGTCTCACTGGGAGTTTTCTGCCTGGGCTGGCTTTGAGCCTAGATTCTCAAGCCTTCTGAGTGGCTAGGATTACAGGCGTGAGCCACTGGTACCCGCTTAGTAACTTAAAGATACCAGGGATAGCTAAATTTGCTTGAAACCTTAAATTTACAGATATGAGAAGTTAAGGTGATCATCCTGGCATGAATCCTAACCGGAAACCAAGAAAAGGTTTTCTTCCACAAGTTGTCCTAACTACTTGACAGAAAAGACAAATTTGTCATAATTGTGTTTTCAAGAGAATAGCCAGGTAAGCTTACCTTTTTTGATACTCAGCCTGGTGCATAAATTCATAGTAGATTTTAGGGTCTGCTATGACAGACTTTCAAGTTCCTTTCATAGAGATGCAATCTTGAATAGGTTACTTGCCCTTAATTTGGTCTGTCTAAAAAACAAGTGGACTTCTTTTCTTTTATATAGTGTTCTTTTCTTTTATATAGTATTTATACTAATCCTCCTAAATAGTAAGCCTTTCAGTTCTATTCCAGCCCTAGCACAGGATTAACTATGTGATAAGACTATCTCATTTACTTTTTATGAGACTACAGTGGGAAAGCAGGCCTCAATAAAAAACTCTGTCTCAAAAGGGTTAACCTTACTTGCTGAAATGAACACAAACATTCAACAAGTTTTGGCAACTTTCTATTTTCATTTCCAATTTAGGGGGAAAAAAAAAAACCCTGCTCAACAAAGAATAATACAAGTTCAAACTGGACAGGTGTTATTAAAATAACTAGAAAAATTGAAGCAACCAGGCAAAAATATTTTGTATGTCTCTCCGTTCTTTTAAAAAGACACTAAGAACACTATAGTAGTAAAATGGCAATAACTTTTTTTTTTTTTACAAAATTAATCTGTCTGGCAGAAACATTTTGAAAAATTAAGACAGAAGTAAAGATACCTACCGATCGTGATTGCTGTGTTTGGAAGGGGACAAACTGGCCTGGTGGTGGCAAATGAGGAGGATGATGGGGAGAAAGATGCGGAGGATGTATAAGAAACGGATCACTAGAAATAAGGGGTGGGAACGCAGCATATGGTACTGGCAAGTGCTGAACTGAACATGCCTGGAGCACCTGTAAGAGAAATCCTTATTTTTGGTTAAGAAAATCACAACACATAATTTTTTAAGGAAAAATACAGTAAAAGTAAAATCACTTATTATATACTTCCCCCAAACTCATACAAAATGTATAAATAACTTGCATTAATTATTTAGCACTAGTACCCAGGCTTGAACTCAAAGTCTCATCTTCTTACTTGGCTTTCTTGCTCACAGCATTTGCACTGCCACTTGAACTATGCCTCTAGTCCAGCATTTTGCTAGTTAATTAAGAAATAAGAGTCTCATAGACTTTTCTGCCTTGGTTAACTCTGAACTGAAATGCTCCAGGTCTCAGCTTCCTGAGTAGCTAGGTTCACAGGTATTTGCCAGAAGAGCCCAAACCTTTTATTTATTTTTAATACTTATAAAATCAAGAACTGCTGCCTGTTATAAGACACAGCAGATACTATTGCTATTCTTAAAAACAAACCCCCCAAAAAAATCTGTTTTCAATCTCATTATTTTTTTTAGGATTAAAAAAAAAAAGAATATAGCCAGGTGCCAGTGGCTCACATCTGTAAGCCTAGCTATTCAGGAGGCTGAGATCTGAGGACTGTTGTTTGAAGCCAGCCCAAGCAGGAAAGTCCATGAGACTATTATCTCCAGTAAACTACTCTGAAAAAGTGAAAGTGGTACTATGGCTCAAGTGGTAGAGTGCTAGCCTTGAGTAAGTACAAAAAGGCTCAGGGATAGTACCCACTCTGAGTTTAAGCCCCAGGACTGGCAAAAAAAGAAAAAAAAAAGAATATAACTCACTACTAATTATATTGTAATTGGCAGATATAAGACATTACTCTATTTACTGAGAAACCAAGCTTGCGTAGATTAAATCTGCTAGATTGGTTATTGGTATGTATATTGAAGCTTAAGTATCACATTTAGACCATTATATTTAGATTTTGCCAAGGGCTTCCTATAGTGAAGAATAAGAATGGGCACTCAAAGTAACGACACTAAAACACATTAAGTGGCTCTGTATAATGTCATATCTCTGTAATACCAAGATTCACTGAGGCAGGAGGATTTCTATCCCAAGGTCAGCCTAAGCTACATACTAATGTTCTCTCTTAGGACAACCAAAACGAACATAACAAAAAAGCCCAATGAGTGTTGAAACTATAAACTGCTGAATACTATAATCTCTGAGATTTAAGCCAACCTTTATTAAGCTTTAATTATAAACAGTGTTAGCAAAGGCACAAGACACTCAAACAACAACACAAAAATAGATCAGGTTTCAAAATTTTAAATCTTATTCATTTTATTAAACCTTGCTATTGAGATTTATATTGTAATAAATTAGCTGTTTTACACAGAAGTTATGAAGACTATCTCTTAAATTTTGATTGCTTATGTAATGCACTTATTCCTTTTCTAGAGGAATTTCTGACTTATAAATTACAAAACCATTCCAGGATCATATGCTTAACAGCAAGATCAGATGAGGATAAAGGCAGAGACTTACTGGAGGAGGCACACTGCAGACAGGGAGGTGCTGTCCACTGAAAACCACAGAGCATCCTGGGACCTGTTGTGTACTGCAAGCAGGGATGTGCTGGCCTGTGCAGAGTGGAATCCCATGTGGTGCCACTGTTGTTACTGTATAAGAAACAGGAACTGTTCCTTGATGGAGCTATTAGGAAACAAAAGTAGAATTTCAGATGTCTGGATAAAATGTTAAAAGTTAAGACATTTATTGATTCTTCTCAGCTACATAAAATCTAGAAACCTTATCAACTATTTCAAAACCTAGTATCACTTTTCTATCCTAAGTATCTGCTGAGATTTAAGTCCAAAATATATAATGTGCTGAATGTTACCAATAAAAATTATTCTGGCCAGGTGCCAGAGGCTCACACCTGTAATGCTAGATACTCAGGAGGCTGAGATCTGAGGGCAGATCTCTGAAGGCAGCCTAGGCAGAAAAATTTAAGAGACACACCTTCAATTAATCAGTAAAAAAGACATGACTCAAGTAGTAGAGTGCTAGCTGTGATCACAGGAAAAAAAAAAAAAAAAAGCTTCCCTAGTAACAGCACACACACATACATAAACTGATTATTCTAGGCTAGAACACGGTTCAAAGGGTAGCACACTTGCCTAGCACATAGGTGTAAGGCTCTAAATTTTTTTTTTTTTGGGTCCGGTCGTGGGGCCTGAACGCTGTCCCTCAGCTCTTCAGCTCAAGGCTAGCGCTCTACCACTTGAGCCACAGTGCCACTTGCGGCTTTTTTCTTTTTGCTTATGTGGTGCTGAGGAATCGAACCCAGGGCCTCAGGCATGCAAGGCAAGCACTCTACCACTGAGCCACCTTCCCAGCCCCTAAGGCTCTAAATTTAAGCCTAAGTACCACTAAAAAAATTTTTGGGAGTATTAAAGAGCCCAGGAGTTTCAAACTGCCCCCAGACAATATAACAAGATCCTGTCTAAAAACAAAATCAACAATAACAACAACAACAACAAAATATATATATATATATATAAAACTCAGGGCCTGGGCACTGTCCCTTTGCTTTGAGCAAAGAAGCACTACCACTTGAGCAACAGTGCCACTTCTGGCTTTTTCTGTTTTTATGGTACTGAGGAATTGAACCCAGGGCTTCATGCACGCTAGGCAAGCACTCTACCACTCAGCCATATTCCCAGGCTGGCTTTGAACTGTCATCCTCAGATCTCAGCCTCCCGATTAGCTAGGATTACATGTGTGAACCACCAGTGCCTGGCTTTAATTACGAATTTCTGATAGTTATTGCCATACTTAAGTACCATATCTTATTAAATCTGCCAACAATTTTATTTCCTTTTTCTTGGGTTGGTCATGGGGCTTGAAATCAGGGTCTGGGTGCCATCCCTGGGCTTTTTTGCTCAAGGCCAGAACTCTACCACTTTTTTTTTTTTTTTGGGTCCAGTTGTGGGGCCTGAACTCTGGGCCTGGGCGCTGTCCCTCAGCTCTTCAGCTCAAGGCTAGCGCTCTACCACTTGAGCCACAGCGCCACTTCCGGCTTTTTTTCTTTTTTGCTTATGTGGTGCTGAGGAATCGAACCCAGGGCCTCAGGCTTGCAAGGCAAGCGCTCTACCACTGAGCCACCTTCCCAGCCCCCAGAACTCTACCACTTTGAGCCAGAGTTCCACTTCTGGTTTTCTGGAAGTTAACTGGAGATAAGAGTCTCATGGATTTTCCTGCCTGGGCTGCCTCTGAACCTCAATCCTCAGAACTCAGCCTCCTGAGTAGCTAGAATTACAGGCAGGCATGAGCTACCAGTGGCTGGCACATGATTTTTTTTTTTTTTTTTTTGCTTTTTGGGGTACTAGGAAAATGTCCCAATTAACTGACAGTATTCTTTGTCACTTAGAATTTTTTAAATTTACCTTATTGTCGTTTTAGAGGTGATATACAGTGGGGTTACCTTTACATACGTAAGGCAATAAGTACATTTCCATTTGTGCAGTGTCCCTCATTCTCTCCCATTTCCACCCATCTCTCACTTTCATCAATATTCAGTGTGCTCCACTGCTGCATTTTTCCTGATTCTGTGCCCTCCTCCAACTGATGTGCACATGAGTACACTGTTAAGGTAAAGAATACAGTCACCAGAAAAAGACAAAACAAATGAAGGAAAGTCCTTTGTTTCCTTCTCTTTGGAGTTTGTTTCAGTATGTGTATTATTTTATATACATAAGAAGTGGCGCTTGGGTACTGCACCTTTGTGATTCTCTCCTCTTTTGGTCTCACTTGTATGTATCTGGCATTCTGTGTAATTTATCATATCCTAGTGCATTTCAGATATAACTTCCACATGTGCAGTTTGTCTCTCTGATCTTGGCTTACCTCACTTAACATGATTTGTTCTAGTTCCATCCATTGCCCTGAAAATTGGTATTATTTTACTCTAATGGCTGTGTAAAATTCCATTGTATATAGATACCACATTTTTTGGATCCACTCATCTACTGTGGGGCATCTGGGATGTTTCCATATCTTGGCTATTGTGAATAATGTGGCAATGAACATGGACGTGCAGGTGTTCTTATCATATCCTGGCTCAAGTTGTTGAGAGTAGATGCCAAGGAATGGTATGGCTGAGTTGTGGGGAAAGTCTATCCTTACTTTTTTGAGGAACCTCCAGACTGCTTTCTAGAGTGCTTGCACTAATTTACATTCTCACCAGCAGGGCAGTAGGGTTCCTTTCCCCCCACATCCCCACCAGCATTTTTTGTTGTTAGAATTCAAAAAGTTGGCCAATCTAACTGGAGAAAGATGGTATCTCAGGTGTTGGCCCAGTAGCTTCCTTTCTCATAGCCTAGCATTTCCTTTCTTAGGCAACACTAGGCCCATTTAGTAAAAGCAGTAGATGATCAGCATTCACCCACCTTTACCTTGAAATGGCATTCCTTTGGGGCAGCTACAACCATATAAGGCAGCAAGATCCCCTTAAACTGACCTTCAGGTCTGGGCAGCTGCAAGACTTCTTAGCCCACACATCCACACAGGGTCTCCTCTTCCTAAACCTTGTAGGTTATATAGGTTACCTCAGACAATGTCTGGCACTTCTCTTGTGAGAAGGTTATCTTGCCAGTCCCTTTGCTGGCAGTAAATTTTTCTTTGTTCTTTGTACTGGGGTGTCTGTGTGGTTTTCTGGCAAAGTCTAATAAACTCTAATATAAGGATTGTTTTGATTTGCATTTCCTTTATGGCCAGGGATAATGAACATTTCCTCATGTGTTTCTTTGCCATTCTTACCTCCTCTTCTGAGAAGTCTCTTCTTAGTTCCCTTGCCCATTTAGTAATTGGTGTACTAAGTTTGGGAGGGGTTAGTTTCTTGAGCTCCATATATATATATTTATATATATAAATTTTAAAGAATATATATCTAGGATATTAGGCCTTTGTCTGATGTATTGCTGGTAAAGATCTTTTTTGCCAATACGGTAGCTGGCTGTCTTCCTAGTTTAGTAACTGTCCTTCACTGTGCAGAAACTTTTTATTTAATATAGTCCCACTTGTCGAGTTTCTCTAACTGTTGTGCCCCTGGGACTCTATTCAGGAAGTTCCTGCCTGTATCTGTAAGTTCTAATGTCTTTCCTACTTTCTCTTGCAGTAGTTTCAGACTTTCAGGTCTGACGTTGAGGTTTGTGATCAACTTTGAGTTGATGTTAGTGCATGGTGACAAGCAGGGATCCACTTTTAGTTTTCTGTATATGGCTGTCCAGTTTTCCCAAAACCAATTTTGAAGTGGCTATATTTTTTCCACTATATGTCTTTGGCTCCTTTGTTGAGTATCAGATGACTGTAAGTATGTGGATTTGTTTCTGGGTCTTCTAATCTGTTCCACTGATCTTCAGGCCTATTTTTCTGCCAATAACAAGCTGTTTTTCTTATTATGGCTCTGTGGTAGAGTTTGAAATCTGGTATTGTGATACCGCCTGCATTGCTTGTTTGCTTATTTATTAGTCTAGAATTGCTTTGGCTATTCTAGGTGTTTTGTTGTTCCATGTAAATTTTTGGATTGTTTTCTCTCAGTGAACAATGTCATTGCACCTTTGATGGGGATTGCATTGAACTTGTATATCATTTTTGGCAATATTGCTAGTTTACAATATTGATTCTACCTATCTATGAGCGTGGAAGATCTTTCCATTTCCTGGTTGTAAGGTCCTCTCCTGGATGGCTAGCAGACTCCACCCTCCTCGCAGCAAAGTCTCCACCTAGTACCTGAGGTACCTAGGAAACTGGGACACCTGGAAGAGGTCACACCTGCATCTGCTGAGGTCACATCTGAATTTGATGTGGCCACACCTTTCTCCACCCATACTCTAGATAAGGACTAGCCCAGGCCCAGAGGCGCTCTCACTGTTCTTTTCTAGCTCTCTCTGCTCTAGCTCTTTCCTCTCTTTCCCAGCTCTCTCTCATTCTCAGGCTTTTCCCAGCCACGTGGAGTGCCAACCTTGCCTGGTCCCAGCAGGTCTACTGAATAAACCTACCCCTTACCTGAATACCACGTGAGTGCTGCTGTTCTTACTCGGCTATCTCTCTCTGTTCTTGTCTAGCTCTTCTCAAGCTCTTTTCTCTCTCTCTTTCCCAGCTTTCTCTCTTTCCTAGGCCTTTCCCAGCCGCGTGGAGTGCCAATCTTGCCTGGTCCCAGCAGGTCTACTGCATAAAACTACCTCTTACCTGAATACCATGTGCGTGCTGATGCTGTTCTTACTTGGTTACCTCTTTTTAAAAACCTAACACTGGTGTCCTCTTTGATTTTTTTTTTTTGTTCAAGATTTTAGTTTTCACTATAAAGATCTTTTACATCTTTATATTCCTAGGGTTTTTTTTTTTTTTTACATTATTGCAAATGGGGTTGTTTTCTTTTTTTTTTTTTGGGTCCAGTCATGGGGTCTGAACTCTGGGCCTGGGTGCTGTCCCTCAGCTCTTCAGCTCAAGGCTAGCGCTCTTACCACTTGAGCCACAGCGCCATTTCCGGCTTTTTTCTTTTTGCTTATGTGGTGCTGAGGAATCGAACCCAGGGCCTCAGGCATGCAAGGCAAGCGCTCTACCACTGAGCCACCTTCCCAGCCCAAATGGGGTTGTTTTCATGATTTCCCTTTCTGCTTGTACGTTGCTGGCATACAGAAAGACTACTGATTTTTTTTTTTTTTTTGGGGGGGGGGGGGGATCTGGTCGTGGGGCCTGAACTCTGGGCCTGGGTGCTGTCCCTCAGCTCTTCAGCTCAAGGCTAGTGAGCCAAAGCGCCACTTCCGGCTTTTTTCTTTTTGCTTATGTGGTGCTGAGGAATTGAACCTACGGCCTCAGGGATGCAAGGCAAGCACTCTACCACTGAGCCACCTTCCCAGCCCCAAGACTACTGATTTTTGTGGGCTAATTTTGTGTCCTGCTACTTTGCTGAAGTAGGTGATTAGCTAAAGGAATTTGGGGCTGAAGTTTTCTGGGTCCTTCAGGTAATAAGATCATGTCATCCTCAAATAGGAATAGTTTAATTTCTTCTTTCCCTATGTGAATTTCTTTAATGTCCTTTTCTTGTCTTATTGCTCCAGCTAAGAATTCCAGAACTATATTGAAGAGGAGGGGACATCCTTGACTTATTCTTGATTTTAGGGGAAATGGTTTTAATTTTTCCCCATGTAGTATGATGTTGGCTGTTGGTCTGTCATATATAGTCTTTATTATTTTAAGGAATGTTCCTTCTATTCCTAGTTTCTCCAAAGCTGAGTCTTGCCAATTTGTATTTCCCTTTGGTATTGAGTGTTTTTCCTATACTTTTGACTTTTTATTCTAGCTCCTTGGTTTTATCCTTAATTCCTGATATTCTTTTTTCCATTTCACTTATTCTGTTACCTATGGATTCCACTGTGATTTGCATTGTGGAAACTGAACCTTTTATGCTTGCCAGATCAGTTCTCATAATGTTAATTTTGTCTTTTCATGAGATACATATCATGGATATTTTTATCTTCATCTTTTTGGGAGTCCTGGATTTTCTTTGTCATTTCTTCTTTGTACTCTTGAAATTATTTTTGTATATCTGCTTTTATTTCATTGACCAATTTTGTCATCATTTCTTTAAGGTTCTTTTGTTCTCCATCTCTTCTTCACAATCACTGGGGTCCTTCCATGAATTGTTGTTGGCTTTTGGATTTGGTTGTTCATGAATTTTGTAATTTTTCATTGTGATTTACGTATTTAGGTTCAGGAATGTCAAGGCAATGGCCCAAGCTGCCATCTCCTTCTCATTTAGCTATTTTGTTTACAAAGTCTTATTGAAAGTATTTTAATTGAGATCCTAACACTCATGAACATTCATAAAAAGGACACTACAGATAAAACAGTAGTCCTAATACTTATTTTTACTTTCATGTAACAATTGAGTAGGATAATAAATAGTAGAACATTGCCAAATCTCCCCTAAAATCCCTCTAGGAACTCCTCTGAATCCCTCTGAATCTCCTTTGCTCATTATGGCATCTAGGCTTCATCTAGGTGTGGACCCCAAACTATGTCTTCTATAGTCTGACATTTTTTCACTGTCTTCATGGTAATTTTTTTGGTAAGTAAAATGTCTTTAAAAAGGAAGAAGAAAGCTAGGCATGGAAGGCTCACACCTGTAATCCTACTACCTAGGAGGCTAAGATATGAGGATCATGGTTCAAAGTCAACCTGGGAAAGAAAAATCCATGAGACTCTTATCTCCAATTAAACCACCAAAAAAGCTGAGTGGAGCTGTGTCTTAAGTAGTAGACCCACCAGCCTTGAGGGAAAAGAGCTCAAGGACAGCATCTAGGCTCTGAGTTCAAGCCCCAAGACTAGCACCCTCCACCCTGAAAAAAAAAAAAAAGGAGTAGACAAATTAAGAGAGGAATAGGGAGAAAATGCAATCATAATTTTCAATGTATATCCTATGAAAGAAAAACAAGAAGATGAGAATAGTTGGGATAGGAGATAGAGTGCCTACTTAGCAACTTCAGTACCCTAAATTCAAAACACAGTATGGGAGAAGGAGGTAGCAGCATTCTCTGACCACTTCACAAGGATAATCTTTTTCATCAACACAGTGTTATGTTTCACATTCAGATCTAGAATCCAACTTGAATTAAATGCTTTTCCTTTGTGCCAGTCCTGAGGCTTGAATGTTTTTGCTCAAGGCTAATGCTCTATCACTTGCCACTTCTGATTTTTTGATGATTAACTGGAGGTAGGAGTCTCAGACTTTTTACCTGGGCTGGCTTTGAACCACACTCCTTAGATCGTAGCTTCCTAAGTAGTAAGGATCACAGGAGTCAGTCACAGGTGACCAGTTTGTGTATGATTTAAAGTAGGATCTAAAGTTCCAACTCATCCAAATGAATAGAAAGTTGCATCACGCCGGGCGCTGGTGGCTCACGCCTGTAATCCTAGCTACTCAGGAGGCTGAGATCTGAGGATCGCGGTTCAAAGACAGCCCGGGCAGGAGAGACCATGAGACTCCTATCTCCAATAAACCACCAGAAAACCGGAAGTGGCGCTGTAGCTCAAGTGGTAGAGTGCTCGCCTTGAGCTGAAGAGCTGAGGGACAGCACCCAGGCCCAGAGTTCAAGCCCCACGACTGACAAAAAAAAAAAAAAAAAAAAAAGAAAGTTGCATCACATATCATTACTAAAAAAGACTTTTCTTCCCCTTTTTGAATTATTGAAAGAATTATCATAACATTGTATTCTTCATCATTACTAAAAAAGACATTCCTTCCCCTTGAATTCCTTTGGCAACTTGGTTGAAGTAAGTCCTAAAAATTAGAAGTGTACTCTACCTACTTTGATATTCCTTTAAGATTATACAACAGTGGTGTTCTCTAATTGCAGAGTATTTTAGAACTCCTTGATGGGGGCTGGAAAGGCGGCTCAGTGGTGGTAGAGTGCTTGCCTTGCATGCATAAGGCCCTGGGTTTGACTCCTCAGCACCACATAAACAGAATAAACTGGAAGTGGCACTGTGGCTCAAGTGGTAGAGCGCTCACCGTGAGCTGAAGAGCTAAGGGACAACACCTAGACCCAAAGTTTAAGCCCCATGACCAAACAAAAAAAAAAAACTACTTGATGGAGTTGTTAAGCCAGATTGCTGGCTCAAAATCAGTAAATCTAGTATATAGTTGAGAATTTGGATTTCTAACAGATGTCTAAGAATTAGTACTCAGCTGACTCAAATCTTGTTATTTTGTACTATAGACCAAATCATTTTGTTTTGTCAACCAAATTTCTTAAAAGGCCAAAAGGTAGACAGATATTTCAGGTTTGTGGGCCACCCTGGTGTCTGCTCAAAGTGTCCACTGAAAATAAATGAGCATGTGGTTCTATTCCATAAAAATTTATAAAAACAACTATTAGTAGTTTGCTTTCTTCTGCTATACTATCATATAGTCTTTTGTAGTAAAAGTGCCATAGAAATTACAGAATTGACTTTTCAAGTTTTACTGGAAATCTGTTGGAGACTTATTTGGATTAAATTAATTCTATATAATGCATATATCAATTTTGAAAAGACAGGTTGTATAAAGTTACATCTTTCAAATCAGGTTGCTTATGAATTAAATAGGTTTTCTTTAAACTCCCCAACAAAATTTTATAATCTTTTTCAAAAAGTCTCTAAACCACTTTTGTTAAGACTTATTCTTTTAAATTCCTTCATAATTACTTTGGAATTTTCAGTGAAAGTTTTGTGTTTATTTTATGCAAAATTTAAATTTAAATTCTTAATGAAGAACTGAACACCACTTAAAATAGCTACATTTTAGATAAAATTTAAAGAAATCTCTATTAAAGAATCAAACACTCTCAGTAAACTATCACTAACTTTTTGCCATTTGTATTTTCAGGACATTCTGTTACTGTACCTGATCATGTATGTCAACCATGACTGCATTCTGCTGTGGTGGATGAGCAGCTGGATGTAACAGACGGGGAGATACATTCGGAGGGTGGAAGGCTCGAGGTTCCTCTATTGCTTGCTGTTGTGCATAAGGGAGATGGTGATAGTTTTCATCTTGACTAATGGAATTATGTCGAGACAGACGATCCCTTCTTCCTCTCTGGCGCCTGACAGGAGGACTGTAATATAGTAAATATCAAAAAGGTCATCACTATAATGTCTATTGGTATGACTAGTCAAGATTCTGTATTCTCTCTGTTTACTTATCAAGAATGTTTGAAAAGGTAAACCTGAGTTAAGTATATTGCTTTGGTTCCTCAGTAGCTCAAAAACCTTACAAATTTAGAGCTGGGCACTATTGGCTCTGACTGTAATCTTGACTATTCAGGAGATCAGCAATATAATGGTTCAAAGTCACCCAGGACAGAAAAGTCTAGAGACAATCTCTTAATCAGAAAGCAACAACAACAACAAGAAGACTGGAAGATTGGCTCAGGCAGTAGAATACCAGACAGCAGCCAAAAAGCTGAGTGCTAAACCCTGAGTTCAAGTCTTGGTACTAGCAAACAAAAAACAACTCCAACACCTTATAAATTTTTTTTAAATTTTTTATTGTAAAGATACTATACAGAGGGTTACGGTTACATGAGTAAGGTAATGAGTACACTTCCTATAGAGCATTGTTACCCCCTCCATTGTTTTCCCCCTACCATCCCTTCCCTCCCTACCTTCCCTGAGGTTTTTTTTTTTAATTGTGATTAAGTGATTACATAATTTCCCAAATTTCACAGTATTGTGGAATAATGATGCTCATTTAAAGTCACAAGTTCATTCTAACTTTCCTGGAGCAAATTGTCTATCACAGTCTATAACATATAACGGTGTACACACATACACCACACATGTGATCAGCAGCATGGGGATATTTAGTAGTGGTTCGACCAGATGAGTGGGACTTCTTTGTTTCTTAAGTCCTGTTAGTTTTGTCGTATCACCTAATTGAATTTAGCATCCACTTATCAGGGAGACCATGTACCGTTTGTCTCTTTGCTCTTGGCTTACCTCGCTCAACATGATTCCTTCTAGCTCCATCCATTTCCCTGCAAATGCCATTATTTTGTCATTTCTAATGGCTGCATAATATTCCATTGTATATAGATACCACAATTTTTGGATCCATTTATCTGTGGTGGGGCATCTGGGTTGTTTCCATATCCTAGCTATTGTGAACAGTGATGCAATAAACATGGAGGTGCACGTGTTCTTGTATATTAACATCTTATAAATTTAAATACAAGTTCACCAATACTTTTTAACATTCATTGATAAATCTACAGAAGTCATTTTTATGTTGCTTCCCCTCATTTCTTTCACATTTATTAACTGGAGTTCTTTCACAAGGAATGGTTATCACTCTTCTCAGTTGTTTGGTCAGTTCTTTAAAATCAGTATGGGTTTGTTTTGTTGTAGTCATTCTATTGTTTTTGAGTGTTAAGTGCTCCTTATTCTTCCTTTGTACTAACATGAATAAAGAGCATGATTGCTTCTTGCCAATTCAGAATCCATTAACTAATTACTACCTCACCTGGAAACATACTTCTGATGCTCCCTTCCTTATCCAGGGCAACTTCTTACTACCTTGAAATTCTAATCCTATGCATATACTCTGGTGCAACATGAGATATGTGCATAAAGGTTCCTAACATTTCTTTCTTCCTTCCCTTTCTGTTTCCCTCATTTTTTTTTTCTTCTCTTCTCTTCTTTCCCCTTCTTTCTTTGCTTTCTTTTGTTGTCCTTTCCTGGGGCTTAGCTTGGGTGGTATCTCTGGAATTTTTGTGCTCAAGGCTACCGCTCTACCATTTGAGCCACAGCTCTACTTTGGGCTTTCTGGTAGTTAACTGGAGATAACACTTCCTTGCTTGGGCTGGATTAAACTGAGATCCTCAGATCTTAGCCTCCAGAGTACCTACGATTACAGGTATAAACTATGAGTAAACTGTTTTTGAGACAGTTTTACTAGGAAGCCCTAGCTGTGGAACTTACTATTTAGATAAGGTTGCCCTTGAACTTCAGATACTCCTGCTTTCTAGTACTGAGATCACACAATTGTGCATCAGCTGTATTACAGGAAGTGAGCAAAACCATTAAGCAACAGTAGGTAGTAAATTGTGATACTTTAAGATTATATTGTATTAAAAATAAATCAAGGGGCTGGGAAGGTGGCTCAGTGGTAGAACGCTTGCCTTGCATGCTTGAGGCCCTGGGTTCGATTCCTCAGCACCACATAAGCAAAAAGGAAAAAGCCGGAAGTGGTGCTGTGGCTCAAGTAGTAGAGTGCTAGCCTTGAGCTGAAGAGCTGAGGGACAGCGCCCAGGCCCAGAGTTCAGGCCCCACGACCGAAAAAAAAAAAAAAAAAAAAAAATCAATACCACCACATTAAAAACAAAATAAGAATCAATGAATACATTTAAATAAAAACTAGCAAAACCCAAAATAATTGTATTTTAAGAGTTCATTAACAAATATTAAAAGCTATAATGAATAATGATAAATTCTCCAGACAATAAACTCTTAAGAAAGAATGAGGGGATGGTCACACAGGGGGAGAAGTGGTATTGTTGGGAAAGGAGTTGTCTTAAGGGATCAATAATGCTCTATTTTAACCTCGGTGTCTAGAATGTTTGCAAGCATTTAACTATACATATGAAAATGCTACAGCAGGTATTAAGCTATAATTTTTATAAACTATATTCCTAATGTTTATGATATTAATGGGTATAAAATAATTTAGTTGGGGAGTCTTTTTAACTCCCCTATACCATATGAAGAATAGGAGATAAGTCCTTGCTAAAAACTTTAAAGAAAATAATACTGTACTCCTCAGACATTATTTTACTTAAATATTTCCATGTAAATGATTAGTACAGTTCCAGGTATGAGTCTTAAGTGTCTTTAAATATAGCTAACCCATGCGTTTGTCTCATTTGGAATACATAGGGGTGGTTTTAAGATCACTCCTCTATTAATCCATTCAGGGTGCTATCACAAAACTTCATAAACTACAGAAGCTTATTTAAACTTATTCTAGAAAATCTGTGTCATGGTGGTCAGTTTCTGGAGAGGGATCTCTCCCTGACTTTCAGAACCCACTACCTTCTCATTATGTCTGACATGGCAGAAAATGAGCTGGTATCTTCCTCTACCCACACCTATGCCACCTAAAAAATAAATGTCCCCCTTACTTGGAAATACTGGGGTTTAAACTTAGGGCCTCAAAGCTTATTTGGCAGGTACTGTATCACTTGGACTATGCACTCATCCCTGATGTCCCACTTTTGTAATGTCCCACTTTAGGGATCATACCTACATTGAGGGTTATGATTTCAACATATAAAGGGTTTTTTTTTTTGGGGGGGGGGGAATAAACAGAAATATCTAGTCCATAATGCCTTCCTAACTCAGATTATTACTATTCCTTTGATTATTAATATCCTAGACATGAAAACAGGTATCTGATCCCAATGAGACACCAATTTCCCTGGAATAAGGAAAGTATGATCTTAAGCAACTAAAGAGGAAACAGTTCAAAGAAGAAATACTATCATGGGACTAAACCCATGGACTAGGGGACTGAAAGGTGAACTAAAATTCAGTCAGTCTTTCATATGACAATATTGTAAGAAAAAAAGATTAAGCACCTTTGATTGCTTTATAAGAATCAGAGGAATACAAATGGAGTAGAGAACAAATAGTTCATTTCTAAGATTTAAATTATTTTACAGTTAGAAATTATAGAATGCATTTTTCAGTAATTAAGACTGTAGAAAAGCCCATAAGAAATCCTCAAGCTGATATTCCTGGCTGTAATCCCAGCAGACTCAGTTGGAAGAGAGATGGAAGAATCATGATCTCAAAGCTAGTCTAAACTATATGGTAAAGATCTTGTCTTTAAAAACAAACAAAATTAGTAGCAGATTTGTATATTATGGCCTGGATTTACTATAGGCAAATCACTTTAGCACCTTTCAATTTCTTCACTTGCCAATTAAAAGCTAAATGAATCTTAAAACCTAGCATAAGAACCTAAATAACTTATAGTGTGAATGTACACTATTCATATACTGATGTGTTTATGAACTGCCTATAGAAACATGTTTTCTAGTGTTAAAAAAGTATGCAGGCCTACCAATGGAGGAAAACTGAAGAAACAAATTGTACTCAACTAACCTTCTTCTGTTGCGTGCAGGTGTGTTGCATCGTTCCCCTGAGAAGTGATGTTGGCTTGATCGAACTGAAGGGGGCTGCCTATTTGATGTCATCTCCCATGGTCGCATTGGTGGTGAGGGAGCTGGTGATGCTGATGTATAATCAAAGACTGAATGAGAGAGGCGCTGTCTCTTAGGACTTGGACTATCTTCACTCTGTCAATGCAACAAAATTGATCAACTTAATCAACTGATTAAGGATTTCAAATCATTGCATATATAACAGGTGTTTATTTGCCCTAAAAATGTAAAGAAGAATATTCATGCACTACCAATCCAAATTTAAAACTCTTAGAAAAATGCTGAAGTGGAAATGGAGAGATGTACAATAAGTAATCAGAAGTGAAAAATGGAGTGTTTCTGAACATCAAAAAAATTTATCAAGTAACAATCTGATATATTTTGTATAGGTTGTTAACCTGATGTATTTTTTTTTTGGTCGGTTGTGGGGCTTGAACTCTGGGCTTGGGCACTGTCCCTGCACTCTTCAGCTCAAGGCAAGCTCTCTACCGCCACGGCATCACTTCTGGGTTTTTGAGTGGTTTATTGGAGATTAGAGTCTCATGAACTTTCCTGCCTGGACTGGCTTTGAACCGTGATCCTCAGATCTCAGCCTCTGGAGTAGCTAGGAGTACAGGTGTGAGCTACCACGTCCCCTGTACCGCCCCCCCCCGCCCCCCAAAAACTGATGTATTTTATGTAGACCTTTTACATAGTACTTCCACCTTCCCTTTAAATTCTAATCTAAATCCAGGAGTTGGTGGCTTACACCTATAAACCTAGCTACTCAGGAGGCTGAAATCTGAGGATTCCAATTCAAAGCCAGTTCAGGCAGGAAAAGTCTGTGAAACCTTTATCTCCAATTAACTACTAAAAAGCTGGAAATAGTGTTGTGGCTCAAAGTGGCAGAGCACTAACCTTGAGCACAACAGCTCAGAGACAGGGCCCAAGCATGGAATTCAAGCCCCAGGACCTGCACAACAAACAAACAACTAATCTACTTGAGAAATTCACTATATTCTGTTAGTTATCAGTTAACCTATTAGGCAGCTATGATTTGGTTTAAGAGGAGGTCTTCCTCCTAAGTTCCCAACTTCATTTTTTTTAACTGTATTTTTTTTGGGTGGGGCGGGGTGGGGGAGTGTCTTTTTTCTTTTTTTGGTACTGGGGATCAAACCCAGGATGCTGTACTTCCTAGGCAGGCACTTTGCCACTGAGCTACATCCCAGCCCATCAACTTTATTTATTTTTTTGGGTCCGGTCATGGGGCCTGAACTCTGGGCCTGGATACTGTCCCTCAGCTCTTCAGCTCAAGGCTAGCGCTCTACCACCTGAGCCACAGCGCCACTTCCGGCTTTTTTCTTTTTGCTTATGTGGTGCTGAGGAATCGAACCCAGGACCTCATGCACACAAGGCAAGCACTCTACCACTGAGCCACCTTCCCAGCCCACCAACTTTATTTTAAATCACATTCATCTCTCCTGCATTTTGTTTAGGGGGCAGGACCAAAACTGGGGTTGGAACTCAAGACTTACTAGGCAGGCACTCTACCACTTGAGCCACATCTCCAGTCTTTTTGTACTTTCAGACAGGTTTTTGAATTTTTGCCCAGGCTGACCTCAGACTGATGCTCCTACCTCTTGTCTCCTGAGTAACGGGAAATACAGACATGTGCCACCCATACGCAGCTTATTTGTGTGTGTATTTGGGGGGGGGGGGGGTGAGGGTTCCCTCACAAATTACTTGCCTAAAGAATCTGCCTTATTTTGTGTGTGTGTGTGTGTGTTGTAGGGCCTGAACTCTGGGCCTGGGCACTGTCCCTCAGCTCTTCAGCTCAAGGCCACTTGAGCCATAGCACCACTTCCAGCATTTTCTGCTTCTGTGGTGCTGAGAAAATCAAACCCAGGGCCTCATGCATGCAAGGCAAGCCACCTTCCCAGCCCCCTCCCTCTTTTATTATACTTATACTTATTTTCTTTACTAAGGTTTCATGGATAAATTAAGATTTATATAAAGCAGATAATCAGTGGACCTAAACCATAAATTCTTTTTTTTTTCTTTTTTGCCAGTCCTGGGGCTTGAACTCAGGGCCTTGTTAGTGTCCCTGAGCTTCTTCTGCTCATGACTAGCACTTACCACTTGAGCCACAGTGCTACTTCAAGCCTTTTCTGTTCATGTGGTATTGAGGAACTGAACCCAGGGCTTTATGCATGCCAAGTAAGCACTCTACCTCTAAGCCACATTTTCAACCCCATAAGTTCTTACCCAAAATGTCAGAACTTGGTATATTGTTAAGTTTTCAAAAGTCACAGTTATGGGCTTACTAACTATAAAACTCATTTAACTTACTTATCACTTTTCTAGAGTTTTCTACCAAATTCAATTTCCTGGTTAAATATTATCAAAATAAGCTACATGTTTTCCAATAAACCTCTCCTATTTTCAATCTACGACTACAAGTTCTAATTATTCAGGTATTAGAGTACTTTTCATGGCAAAATAACTGGCAATCTTCTATGGACATATTAGCTACATATTAGATTTTAAGGAGATAAGAATATGAAACATTATTTTATTTAAATTAGTAAGAACAAAGCATGTTGCTAAATGATTACATTTGTTCATTCCAAATTATTTAGCAAGGTAGTCCAAAAACCATAACAATTTCTTTCTATACTTAAACTATCATTATGTATTCAACACTGAGTATATTATACTGCAAAGCCTAATGCAAGCTAAGATACACAAGTATGAATTCTAAACACTACTGACTAAATGGAGACAAATGGTATGGATATACATGATGAAGGTCAAATCAAGTAATAAAGCACTTAGGCTATAAGGTTTTACCATATTTCCAGTGATGCTCAAATTGTAGGTTAACAATGTTCTTATTTCCCAACAAATGCATTTTTTTTGCTTTTTAAAATCAGTCAAAAGGAACTTAAGGCTGGGTACTGGTGGCTTAGGCCTGTATTCTTGGCAATTCAGAAGGCAGAAAATCTGAGGCTCAAAATCAGCCCAGGCAGAAAAGTCCATGAAACTTTTTTTTTTTTTTGTGGGTCATAGGGCCTGAACTCTGGGCCTGGGTGTTGTCCCTCAGCTCTTCAGCTCAAGGCTAACGCTCTACCACTTGAGCCACAGCGCCACTTCCTGTGTTTTCTGCTTATGTGGTGCTGAGGAAATCGAACCCAGGGCCTCATGCATGCAAGGCAAGCACTCTATCACTGAGCCATCTTCCCAGCCCTCCGTGAAACTCTTATCTCCAGTTTACCACTAAAAAGTAGAAAATAGAGCTATGGCTCAAGTGGTAGAGCATCAGCCTTGAGCAAAATACCTAAGGGACAGTGCAACGAGGTCTTCAGTTCAAGCCCCCCCCACCTTAATCAACTTCTAATTTTTTACTAATAACTTCCAAGTTCTCAGTCACATAGTTATCTAATAAGTAAGTTAATACAGAATTTATTTTAAAAATTTAGGTCACAATTCAGCCTTAATATTGTAAAACATCCATTTGAAAAGTATCAACACTCCCATATGTACATTTGATGAACAGAAATTAGCATCTGCAACCAAACTTTCAATGATACATGTGGAAAAAAATGACAAAATAAATGCAATGATTTTAAAAGAGGTAAGGAAAGATAGCTGGAAAATTCCTTACACCCTTTTGTACTCTGATGCTTTCACACTGATGGGGGAAGGGAGTGGAAGACACAAAGGATAGGAAGTAAAGGGATGGCTATTTATTAGTTTATGAGAGTGTACCTTATTTCACTCAAAGTAATAGGAAACTAAGATGGATACTTAAAGAGAAGAAAACATGACTTCATCATGCCCCTCATTAATGTTACAAGTCTTGGGAACTCCAAAGAAATCCTATTTCTGGAAAAGGGAAAGTATAGAAGGTATAACCTACAAAGAAACAATTTACATATTCCCTCCTTGAACAACATCTGTAGGAGACAAAAAAAAAGTACAATGAAACTAGAAAGTACAATGGGATGTAGCTCAATGGCAAAGTGCTTGCCTAGCAAGTGCAATGCCCAGGTTGGATCCTCAGTACCAAAAGAGAAAAGACCAAAAAAAAAAAAAAAAGTTATAGAAATGGTAGCTCAGAAAGTCTGAAAAATAATTGTTCCAAATTACAGCAAGAAGTCAGAGGGTTCTAAGAAAAATGACCTATATCAAATGGATTACAATAGTATGAGCTAGAAGTGGTAGTTCGTACTTATAATCTCAGGTCCTGGGATGTCAAGTTTGAGTCAAGCCTAGGCTTCATGGCAAGATTCTCAAAATACACAAAAAGCAACTGTATGACTAAGAATTTGGAAGTTAGTAAAATTTAAGTACAGAGCTCTTCTATCATAATGATGCAGAGGATAACACTGATCAAGATGCATGAACTGACATGTTGAATTGAAACTCCTTTGTATTGCTGCTTAAAAGTATATAAAAAATAATTATTAATCCAGACAGTGATGGCTCATGACTGATCAGAAGGCTGAGATCTGAGGAACGCAGTTTGAAGCCAGTCCAGACAGGAAAGTCAATGGGACTCCTATCTCCACTAAACTACCCCCTCCCCCCCACAAAAAAAAAAAAAAAGCTGGAGTAAAGATGTGGCTCAAGTGGTAGAGCGCTAGCCTTGAACAAAAAAAGCTCAGGGACAGCACCCAGACCCAGAGTTCAAGCCCCAAAACTGCCCCCCCCCAAAAAAACCCTCTTGCATTTACAGAGAATAAGCATTGTAAAACTTTAGTAAAGTAACTCTAAAGAGTTCTGGCACAATACCACATTCTGAAAATAGTACCTTACACACAACAAATGCATTTAAATGCACTGCTGAACTTAGAAAGACAAAAAAAAGAGGAATTGAAGGATCCAGAAACAGGAAAACAATTTTTTTTTTGTTTCTCTCTCTTTCTGTGTGTATCTATGCACACATATACTGTACTGGGGCTTGAATTCAGAGCCTCACACTCTCACTTTTTAACTCAAAACTAGTATTTTACCAACTTGAGCCACACCTCCACTTTCAGTCTTTTGCTGATTTACTGGAGATAAGTCTGATGGATTTTTCTGCCCCAGGTTGGCTTTTCAAACCTCGATCCTCAGATTTCACCCTCCTGAGTAGGTATGATTATAGACAGGGG